TACTGGACAAGAACCCCTTTCCAGCCTGGATAGGTAGATATTACCTGCACACCTCCTCCTACAATTTGGACTCTCTCCTCCTGGACTTCAGTGAACTTCAGCCCCTGCACCAAGCCTCTCTAACCCCTGCTGCCATTTTGTGTGTGTGGTTGCAAGGAAACCAATAAGACATTGTGTCACCATCTCCCCTGTTTAATAAAACCACTGTCATTTGCAACCCCAAGTTGGGTCAGGTGTTACTAAATCCCAGTCCCTTCCTTATCTTAAATTCCAGCCTCATTCTCTCTCTCTCAGCTCTAGCCCCCACCCCTCTCCACTAGTTTCCTAATCTCCTCTCAATTCCTACTGCCTTTTCCCTGTGACTTTCTGTTGCCTTTCTCTGCTTTCCCATTGCCCCTGCTGCCTTTCAGTCTCTCCTGCTACTTTTCCTGTGATTTTCTGCTCTCTTTTCGTCTCTCTCTTTTCAGGCTTACCCTGCACCTTCTGTAGTTTCTGCTGTTCCACTTTTCCTGTGATTTTTCTGCTGTCCCCCAGCTTCCCATGCTCCTACTGCCTTTTCCCTGTGACTTTCTGCTGCCTTTCTTTGCTTTCCTGCTGCCTTGCCACCTTTCAGCCTCTCCTGCTACTTTTCCTGTGATTTTCTGCTCTCTTTTCGTCTCTCTCTTTTCAGGCTTACCCTGCACCTTCTGTAGTCATTTCACCCCCCCCACACACACCCCCACAGCTTCCCAGCTCCTCATGGCTGTCCTTCAGTTTTCTCCAGCAGCTGGAGCCTTTCTCCAGCTCCCAGTACCTACTGCCACTCCTTGCAACTTGTCTAGCTGCCCCAGAGCCATCCTCTGGCTGCCCACATCCAGAGCCCCTCTTTAATACCCGCACTTTCCCTTAGTCCCATTTTCCCTCTCCCCACCTACCTTTTCAGCTCCCCTGTAGCTCTGGCTCCAGTCCCAGCTCTGTGCTGGCATTGCTCCCCTGTTCTATAGGTTTTGGGCTTTGTCTTTAATCAATTAAAATCAGTTAACCTAAAGTTACTGCTGAGCCTCAGCTCTTCAGCCCAGGCCCCTCTAGTCTACAGGTTCTAATCCCTGTCCCGGTGACTTTCATTTCCAGCAACTTTCACTCCCTACAATTCTACTTTCTTACCTTAACCTTTCCCCAGGTATCTCAAGTACCCCAAGTACATACATACATATCACAATACCCAACTTAAGAACTCACTTGTGTGTATGTGTAGGTGCATGATACGTGTGTAAATTAGTGAATACATATATATATACACATATATAGATATCATTGTGTGTGTGTGGTATATGCATTAGTAATCCACGTATGTGTATTGAAAGTACAGGTGTTGGTAACTGATTCTGTCTAAATTTGGTGTGTGTAGCGTGTATGGGCTTAAACTGGTGATAGGTGTGCATGAACCTAAACTAGTTATTTTGAATGTGTTTGTATTTGAGTTCCTAGTGTGAGAGAGAGAGAGAGTGTGTATGTGTGTGTGTGTGTGTGTGTGTGTGTGTGTGTGTGTGTATACATATGGCATTGTGTGCATGATATATGAATTAGTGATCTGTGTCTGACTTTTGGGGTGAATATTGTATGTGCTTGAATCAGTAATAGGTATGCATGTGCCCAGGCTGCTTTGAATGTGTATGTGCCTGAGCTGGTAGTGTGCATGTGTATGCACCTAATTGATTTGTGTGTTTGTATATGGGCAATTGTGTTACACCCTCCTGTCTAACAGCACAATATTGAGATCCTGAGAGTTGGCCTGACCCCTCAGGGCAACACTTGCTTCTCCTGATCCTGGTTGGCACCTCAAGTCCCAAGTGCCCCCAGACTGGCTGCCCATGACCTGGTGTAACAGGCCCTAAGTTAGGTGTCTAGGCTATGGGGAGGAGCAGGAGTTAAGTCACACATCATATTGTCTAGCTCTGGGGAGCTGCATGCTTAGCATCTGGTTTCTTTGAATTGCCCTATAGAAGCACCTAACTCTCCCCATTCACTGTATAAGCAGCTCAGACTTATCTCATTCCTTGGGATCACCTTCCAAGGGCTGGCAATGAAGCACCTAAGTAGAATCATGTAAGGGACTAAACTGGATTCTGCCATGAGTGAATATGAGCACCTACAAGGCTGCTTTTTGCAATGTAGACATTAAATTCTGCCCGAGTCTGATTTCAGAGCCTAGTTTACCAGTCTAAATCTCTTTCTTAGCTCTGATCATATTAATAAAATAAGAATGGATAGAAAACATACCTTATCTCTATATGTAAATTTAAAACACCACAGTTTGAACATTTTTTAGCAAGTCCTTCAATTTAACCTAATTTAGGTAATTGTGTGTATTTTCAAGCATCCCCAAAGTTTACATTGTTTTAGCTCTAAGATTTGGCTCTAACTCTTAGCTAAATCAAGTCAATTAAAATTGTATTTTAATAATAAAAGAAAACAATTGGGGTTAAATCTAATAATAGTTACATTAAGAAAACTCTTATAACTCTTATATTTTGTATAATATTGCTAATGTAAGGCCTTATTAAAGATTTTTGTCAGCTCCAAGATTTTTTTGTCTTAGAAATGAATTTGATTGTAAAAGACTGAGTTTCTTGAATTTTTCCTTTTTTGCTAAACAGCTTTCTCTGAATTTAAGCCATGATTTTTGCCAATGAAAACAAATTTTGAACTACATATTTCTAACTAAATGGCAACACTGCTATGCAAAGGAGAATGTACTCTGTTTGACACTATTCTTGTCCTATCCCTGAAACTATAGTACTACTGCAAATATATGTATTAAAATGCATATGTATAAAATATATGTTTCATATATGTTTCAAGCTAAATCAAACTTGGACCTCGAGAGTTTTGTTTTTAAATTCAGAGATTTCACAGCATGTTCTAATTATAGCAAAACAACCTCTAATTCTCTGTTATAGTTTTCTTTATGAGATTTAAATGTAATTCATATTATGATCAGTCATGGTCACATAGCCTCTGAAATGGTATCTATTTGTCTGTTTTTGTCCTGTAGATAATGTAAGGCTGAAAAAAGTTATTCCTGTTTTTATTTTACAATTTATCAATGCACTTCATTAATTTAAGGGAAAATAGTGGCAAGATGAACAACTTGGCAATGAATTCCACTGGCAGTTCATTCACTAATGGTAATAACATCAAACAACCTAGATGTGGATCCAGTCTATGCAGAAAAATATCCTATTCTTTCTCAACTGTTCTCATACATTAAATATGATCTTAGCAGAAACTGCTGCAATATGTGTTTTCAATATTTTGTACATCTGAAGCATGGCCTCTTTAGTAATTCACTCAATTAACTGTGGGAGAGCACAAATATTGATGCATCCTAGTGCCCTGTTCAAACTTCAACCCAGTTGATTCATTAAATATACTAAAAATTTCTCCTGCAGTTTGAATTGTTTTCAAATTGCGTCTTCTTCACCTCATCTTCAGCAGCATTTCCTTACAAAAGGTGACTTGTTTTTCTGAAAGTTGGATGACTTTAAAATGGTGCATAAGATTATAGGTTACATGATATTAAATAGGGGTGTGCGAAGTGGGCTCTATTCGATTCAGATTCAGATATGGCCCAAATGAGGGGCAGTGATTTGATTCGTTGATTTGGATCACTGTCCCTGATTCAATTCAGCTGAATCTGAATCTGAAGATTCAATGCAGATTTGGAGGATCAGTGATTTGGACATAGACACGGCTTTAGAATTTTTTTCTACATACCTTGAGGTAGCAGGCGTGGCGTGTGAATGTTGCACTGTGCCCCACACGAGTGCAGGGGGTCCTCCACATGCTTGGCAATGAACCCAGAAGTGGACCAGAAGTGCTTCTGGTCCACTTCTGGGTCTGCTGCCAACCACTCTGGGGAACCCAACACTCCATGCACCCCAGCATCGCAGCATTCACAAGTCCCTGCTACCTAGAGTTATGCAGAAAAAACATTTAAAGCTGTGTCTGTGGCCAAATCTCCAAATCTTTCCAAATCTCTCTGAATCAATTTGGAGGGTTCCAATTCAATTCAAAGAGATTAAAGGGTCCTCTGATTCAATTCAGATTCGGAGATTTGGCCACCAAATCGGAATAATCAATATATCTCATTAATCTTCTGGTACATGGAAAAGTATAAAAACACAGTAAAATTATATGTGAGCCATCCCCCCTGACCTAAATTCTTATTAGCCTGATACTTTTCGATCTCCAGAAATAATTTGTTGTGTCCATGCTTTCCACATTACAAACAAAACCAACCTGCCTAAAGTCATTATTACAAACCTATTATTACTATTACAGCTAATAGTAACTTTCAGTTTACTGATGTAGTTAACCTAGTAGTTTAATTTTGCTTCTAAGAAAACACAGTCTATTTGTAGCAATTAATTGGCTTTATAAACACTTTCCCAAATGGACTTATTGAACAGCATGAAGATAAGTGTAAGCTCTCTGCTTCATTTGCTTTTCTTTCCCTATTGTTCACATTAGATGTTTTTGCATTCCAAGCCTCTCTCAGGACTAATAACTGAAAACATCTTCTCTATATGGGAGCAATTTTCACTGCTGGAAATGTTAACAAAAAGAAAATTTCAAGAAACCCAGGAGCTTTCAAAGATTCCCTGTGACTAACAGGCCTCTGGGAAATGTTGCCTGTGCTCAGTTTAAATGAGAAAATATCTCAGTTTTAGTGAACAAGACATGACCACTTGTGCACAACAGTTCTTGCCAGGCAGTTGGGCTTCGTAAACACCTTGCTGTAGAAAAAACAGAGCAGAAGTACAACAGAACTTGTGATCAGTTCCAGTCACATGCCTGGTAACTGCTGTAGTCAATTGTATAAAACATTAATTCTGACTTAAGTTTTCCATTTTTTTAAACAATTTGACTGTTCTTTAATTTTACGTCAGGTGATAGTTTCACATTCTTACCAGTCTGGCCTGGAGAAGTGTTGAATTTAATTTCTGGAGGACTGCTTGCACTTTTATGAGCTGTCGGTTGTCTTACAAAGCGATGCTCCATCTCACTGCCTTCTGACTGTTGCTGATCAGATCCAGCAGAGCTAACAAAAAATAGAGGATTGCTTGTCTTCCCTGCTCCCTGCTTCTGTATGCTCTGGGGTGTTTGAATCTCTTCTCCAAAAAGGGGGAAAGAGGCCTCAAAGGAACTATCTTGTTTGTCAACTGTTTTTTCTCCGAGGTTCAACAGAGGTGGATGGAGAGAAGAGCCATTTGATTTGCTGCTGTATTTGGCCCTGCTACTAAGCAAAAGACTCTCGCTTAGCCAGTTTTTCTGTTCTTGGGGTGTGTGCATAGAAATTGCAGGCCCTGGTGCAAAAAATTCTTCAGTATCTTTCTCCTGGACTGTAAAATTACTCCTTGTCACAGAAATCTTGTCATTTTCCTCTTCCTTTCTCCCACATTTATTCTCATTGCTTGATAACTTTGTTGGGCCACATGGAACATCTCTGCCTGCTGTTTCTAAACAGCTCACTTTATCTTTGCATCTGGGTTCTCTTACCAAAGGCTGGTGATGCTCTTTGTTTGATGCTTCTACTTCTTCATATTTCTTTTCTCTTTCCATCATCACTCGCCCAGCTTTGTCATCTTTGCAGGCTTCTTGCGTTTCCTCTGACAAGTTTTTTTCTGAACTGTCTTCTTTAAGAGTATTGTCATTCCTCCCTTGATTGTGCTCTGGCATTTGAGGGAAACAACATGGTTTTTGAAAAGGCAAGTCCATTTGTAGTTCTGCAGGACCAGTTCTTTGAAGAGAAGAATGGTAAGAGAAGGTAGGATCTGCAGAGTAGGAGCGCTCCACTTTCTCACGTCCTAATGGGAGATTACATGTTTTAGTAACTCTGACTCCTTTTTTCATTCTTAATCCACATAAATTGCCGCCATCAACTTCATCATTGTCATGTCCAGCTGTGTCTGTGTTCTGCAACCATCAACAAAATACATAGACAAATAATATGCATGAGTGAAAGAGAATTGGAATAGCATGCAACAGTGAGGATCACCAACTGCATTTTGTTATCGTGTGAGACTTTTATTTTTATTTTTTATTTTTTGCTTATGAGGATCTAAGGGGGAAATGACTTGTAATTCAGGTTCTCCAATTATATCTTCTTTCAGGAGCTTCATTCCTTGGTTTTAGCACATTTAGAGCAAGACTGGTGCTCTAGCTCTTAAAGTTTTTGACTACTTAAGATGGAAGAGTATCAGCCAGGCTCCCTGCTGTCCATTGTGTGCCAAGTGTAAATGTGACTTCTAATGTGAAAAGAAAATGTTTTAATGAAGTCAAAAGGGAATGTAAGCATCTAGGTACACAGAATACAGACCAAACCTAGTGGGAGACTGCTTTTTGGACAGCAGTGACTCTAAAAAGGAACTAGGGGTCATAGCAGACAAGTAACTGAATATTATACAATGTTAAGGTTAAAAAGTGCCAATGAGACCCTTAGATGTAAAATTAGAAAAATAATGAGTAACCTATGTCATGCTGGGACACTATCTTCAGTTCTGGTTTCTATATACATGCTCTGACATGTTCTAATTAGAATGCTTCAGCGTGCCTCACCATCACGTTTATTAAGTGTCTGGTGTTTCGAAATGGCCGCAGGGGTGCTTTAGCTAAAACTCATCAAAAGAGTTTTACAAAGCGATTTTGAAATGTTGGGTGCTTAATACATGTGATCCCCCTCACCCTTCCCCACCAGACCCCGGCACACGTATGTGTCCATATTTTGGAACATTGGAAAGTTGCAGAAAAGATTCACAAAATTAATTTAAAATGTAGAGAAAATTCATTATGGACACAATCTTTTAGGGTTATGTAAAGGAAAACTTAGAAGTGACTTATATGTAATATATTAGTACCCTCACCTAGAAAAAATACCCAACACTAAAGTGTTGTTTAATTTAGTGAAGAAGCATAACAAAAATCAATGGCTGGAAGCTGAAACCACACACAACCAAATCAGAAATAAAACAATTTGTAGCAGTGAAGGGAATTCAAAATGAAGGACTGAAACAAAAGAAGTTTTGGATTCTTCTCTTGAACATTTCAGGACTGGAAGCCTTTCTGGAAGATATGTTTTAGCAAAAATACAAGTTCTGCTTTACACAAACAAAAGTTATTAGACTCAAGACAGGGCATCTGGCTGAAATGCAAAAAACCAGGAGTGTCCACATGTGAAATGAATGCACCTGAATTTACTGCACAGAAAATTAAGGCACGTTAAACTGCTCCCAGGTGCACATCTACTAGGGCTGTGCGAAGCTCGGGTAACTGATTCAATTTGGAGGAGATTCGGCCTGATTCAGCAGCCAAATATCCAAATCCAAATCGAGTCAGGAGACCATTAATCTCTGAATTGAATTGGAAGCCTCTGAATCAATTCAGAGAGATTTGACAATTTGGCCATAGACATAGCTTTATATGTTTTTTCTATATACCATGAGGTACCAGGTGCAGCTTGTGAACCCTGAGATGGTGGGGCAGATAGAGCATCCCGTGGTCATCTTGTGGTCATTCATGACCCCCAAGTCTCTTTCAGCTGTGGTGCTAGTGAGCGTAGCACTGCCAAGCCTATAACCATGCTGCGGGTTTTTTCTCCCAAGGTGGAGTACCTTACATTTATCTATATTAAAAGTCATCAGGTTTGTAACTGCACACTTACTAAGTTTATCCATGTCAGCCTGGATTATTAGCCTGTCCTCTGGTGTGGATGCAATGCCCCAAACTTTAGTGTCATCGGTGAACTTAGCCAGTGCACTTCTGACACCAATGTCCACATCATTGATAAATATATTAAAAAGAACCAGTCCAGGGACAGAGCCTTGGGGGATGCCATTGGTCACAGAGCACCATGATGATTCGCTACCATTGACCACTACTCTCTGGGTCCGACCTTGGAGCCAATTACCCAGCTATCGGACTGTGGTGAAGCCAAGGCCACAGTTGGCCAATTTTTTCCATGACAATGTCATGGGACACCAGATAAAAAGCTTTTTTAAAATCCAGATATATGACATCAATCTCTTCTCCCTTGTCCAGGTGGTATGTCACCTGGTCATAGAAGGAGATGAGATTGGTCAGGCAATGAGGACAGTGAGGACATACCTTAACACACACACATTGTCACCCATATCATGAGTTTTGCTTGTCAGCAGCCTCATGTGCAGTTATCTCCTGCAGCTATCTCCTTGAAAGCTGGCAGACTTCATGGCCCCAGCAGGGCCTAGCATACCTGCAGTTTTCACCCCACTGTGCTTTAACACACATATGACATGAGTTTTGCTTGTCATAGATTTCATAGATTTCATAGACATTAGGGCTGGAAGGGACCTCTGAAGATCATTGAGTCCAGCCCCCTGGCCAAAGGACAGGAAGTCAGCAGGAGTCATAGGATCCCAGCAAGATAGACATCCAAATGTCTCTTGAACTACCTCCAGCAGCAGTCTATTCCAAACCTTGGGGGCTTGGACAGTGAAGAAGTTCTTCCTTATGTCCAGCCTGAAACGGTCACAGCGGAGTTTGTGACTGTTTGATCTTGTCATCCCTTGGGGTGCTCTGGTGAACAGATGCTCCCCCAGATCCTGATGAGCACCCCTGATAAAGTTATAGGTGGCCACCAGATCACCCCTGAGCCTGTGCTTTTCCAGGCTGAAGAGTCCCATACCTCTCAGCATCTCATCGTAATGTCTGTTTTTGTCTGTTTTTGTGACCTCTTACCATGCATGTGGCTCTCCTCTGGACTCTCACAAGCTTCTCCATGCCCTTTTTGAATTGTGGAGCCCAAAACTGGACACAGTACTCCAGCTACACTCCAGCTGCAGCCTCACCAAGGCCGAGTACAACGGGAGAATGACATCCCGGGATTTGCCTGAGAAGCATCTATGGATGCAAGCCAGTGTTTTGCTTGCTTTACTAGCTGCAGCATCACATTGAAGGCTCATGTTCATCTTGTGGTCAATCATGACCCCCAAGTCCCTTTCGTCAGAAGTGCTAGCCACCGTAGCACTGCCGAGCCTATAAGCATGCTGTGGGTTTTTCCTCCCAAGGTGGAGAACCTTGCATTTTTTGGTGTTAAATGCCACCAGGTTCTCATCTGCCCATTTCTTGAGACTGTTGAGGTCAACCTGGATTGCCCTCCTGTCCTCACATGTGGACACTTTACCCCAAAGTTTGATTGTCATCAGCTTGAGATACAGTGTCCCAGAAAACCGTATACCTATCTCCTTGAAACTTGGCAACCTTCATTCCCTTAGAAGGAGCTACCATTCCTGCAAATTGTATCTAAATCAGACAAAAAATGACAAAGTTATAGGTATTTCACTAATTCCCCATTATAGTCTATGGCTGAATCTCTCTGAATCGGAACTGAATCTGCTGAAGACAATTCAGCCAAATTGATTTGGGACAGTGATCCAAATCTCCAAATTG